AATATTAAATTATTTCTAGTATTCTGGAGATAAAAACTTAAACATAAGGGGACAATGAACAGTATATCTCAATATACCTAACCTGTGTAGACTAGAGTTATCGCGGATTGCTATATAGGGCTGCATAGGTTAGGTACATTAAGTTTTTTAATTTTTCTTATTATAGTAATGTTTTAGAGGCAAAGCAAGTCGCGCAGGTTAGGTAAATTAGTTAATTGTTTTTAATTGTAATTAGATTTCCTTTAATATTTTGTCATGCATTTATTTTTTCCCCTCTTTTTTTTGACCAGACGTTAATGTATCCCAGCGCAAATACTTGTCGCTGCAAAATTGATCGGATCCATCCTGATCAATCGCACAAAAATTCAGATTTGTCATCTTAAAAAATACCAGAAATAATTCAATATTACATTTTCGTGTGGTCACCTGGAATATATTTCTTTTTAAATAAATATCTGAAATATTAATAGACAAAATTAGCATTTGAAAATTGTGTTTTTATAAAACGTGTATTTTTTTGTACATATGTATGTGATTTGTAAATAATTTAAGTTTAGTGAGACTAATCCGGCTCCTATGATGCATGCGAAACACAGTATGATCATTTTATTTGACAGTTTTTCCGCTTTAAAACGGAAAGACAGTAAAATAAAGATCATAGAAAACATCAAATTTAGCTAAGATTTTAAACCATTGGTAGTATTAGATGGTACTTATTTATAAATAAAATGTAAACATCAAGTTTGTTATTAAAATGTTCTGAATTCATATTTTTTTTTTTTTTTACAAATGTTAATTATTTTTTTTACATTGTAATAATGTTATTTTTATAACAAATGTTTTTGTTGAAAATAAATTATTATAAAATGAGATTTTTTGTACCTTCTACTATATTCTTGGCGATATTAAAATGAAGTATTCTAAATTCCAGGCACCTTGTTTTCTAAGTTAAGTTCTTTTATTTAAAAATCTGATGTGTCCAACACATGACTTTCCTATCTAGTTATTATAGGCTTTTTCCGGTTATTTTGTACAACCTATTGCAGCATCTCTATAAATGTTTAGAGGATAAACTAAATATATACATTTTACACATACATTTACCTCGAAACATTTTTCTATAGATATTCATTGAAAACGAAAATACTGAAAAATTTAAATTTAGCACTTTTCCATTACGGTCCATTTTAGAAAAATCATGTATAAACAAAAATTATAGATCGATATCGCAAACAACTTTTAGTTCAACAATTTTCATAAAAATCAAAATTTTGCACATTTTGTTAAATTTCTCGAATACGGACCATTTCAGGAAATTTTGACAAAACAAAAATTATAGATAATAATATTAGAAATAACTTTTATTTGAACAATTTTCTTCTCCAAACATAAATAACAGATATATTCCATAAAATATAGAAACGGCCTCCCATAAAGGACCCCCCCAGATGTTCCGACTTTGTCCAAAATCTAATCAGTTCATTAGACACTGGAATAAAGCTTAAGTTTAAAATTTGGTGTTTTTCTGTGTATCGGTTCATGAGTTATGCGACATACAGACACGCACACACACAGACATCATCGCGAAAATAATCAAAGCGGATTCAGGGGACTTCAAAACGTAAAAATCCGTCGAAAACTCGAGGTCGAAAAAATAATGATTCCTATACTTTCCTTGTATCTGTATACAGATAGGAAAGTAAAAATAATGCACCAGATACCTACCTAAAAAAACATGTGTATTTCAAGGACCGTTTGGTCAACAGAATTTATGTATATATATATGCTATGTAACATTTTGAACGAAATAATTAGTACAAATTGTTACTTTAATGTAAATTACACATAGATATATAAATTGATATAATCTTTATGTGATTAAATTTATATAACGGATATGTAATTTTGTAACATATATTTTAATTATATACATGGTATATAACTAGGGTGCTAAGTTTGAACTTAGGTGTTCGGCTTCATAATAACACATAAAAGTGCATACAGGACAGTCTACTATATTTTATCCTTCTTAGTTGTGTAACAGGAGGGAACATGTAACGGAATGGTTTACTGGGTAGTACTTCTACAATACACAGGTATGCCAGCCTCTATACTCCTAAGGGCTTATAGTTTACTTTTGTACCCCCAACAATGATCTCATAAGGATATCATGAGTGCCAAATATAGACCGAGGACCATTTTCGGTTTTATTCCTTATGTTTCCCCAAACTACCTTCACCCTACAATGAGAGACATTTTACATTTCTTGGCCGCTCTTTGTAAATGTTGGTTCCAAGTCGATTTGCTATTTAGGATTAGAACTAAATAGTTGGGTTGTTCTTTTTAGCTTTCCTTTAAATAGGGTCGTAGTATAATATGTCCGAGATAAATTTTTGTGTGTTTACACTGGACTAAACAACTGTCAGACATAAATGTCAGATGTAAATGTACCTTAAATACCACTCTGCTTTGTTTCTAGGTATTTGGTATATTATGTTAATGATCCAAACTTGCCATGTAGAGCCAACAAATGTACGGAACCAGTATTATTGCCTGTTGCAGAGGCACAGGAAATACCCATCTCTAGCCTAGAGAGATTGAAGGTGCGTATTGCCCATGTTAATACTTTATTGTGACTAGCCATTTTGCAGTTTCTAACTCTTTGCCGGAGATTCTGCTTTGAGAGTTTCAGTTTGTATTGGTTTGGTGCATTCGGGTTTATTATGCAATCAGAGAAAGGAATTTAATCCCAATGTTTGCATTCAAATTTTACTGTATTCCTGTAATGAAAAACTGTGTTCATATTTTATATTAGTTTTGTACATCCTGTATGGTTTATTTATTCGTTGTTATAGAGTTGACATATTATTTACCGTCACTAAAATTCTGTTCAATAAAGCCTAATTTCAGAAGGTATTTTCATTACAATTCCCTTGTTTGGGTTTTTAGTTTCCATAAGGATTATAAGATTTTTTGCTAGAATGCGATGGAGTCTACATCCTTAAGTTGTATTTTCAATTTTCTGACAGAATATTCTCCAGGATGGCATGTTTAATATTATCTTTAGTTCATGAGATTGTTTTTTAATTGTCACCCCCCCCCCCCTGTATAGACGCAAAACTGGCTCAGAGTAGAAACAGATGTTTTCTAGGAATAGATAAGATTGTTAAAAATTTGAAGTTATTAATTTATTCTTGCAGGCCTATTATCAATTCATTGTTTAATTAGATATGGAGAGGGTACACATGCTTTTTACAAAATTAAAGAACGAAATGCATTTAGGAATTAATTATTTTTTATCTTCTTTATTATAAACTTTAAAATATATGTCTACTAGTTTTTAAATACAAATAGTTTAATTACAGTTATGGATTTTAAAAGACTCAATAAAATATTTACACAAGCTATTAAATGTACCTTTTATTTATTTTTTGTTTTTTTTATATAAAATATGATAAAATATACTAAGACATTCGTTACCGTTTTTACACTCCAATATTTCAAGACCTCTTAATATCAGCATTATATACCTACCTATAATATCAACCTTCTTATTTGTATTTCATATCAGAAGACGAATTATCAAACAATGCTTCTATTTCCATCTGCGAATCTTCTTCAGAAGAATTTATATTCAAACTAGCCCCTCTAATGGGATTGTTAATAGGTTGATGGCAAGATCCTCTTCTGATGGGATTACTTTCAATTTCACTGTTCTTATTCTCTTCATCATCCTCTTCTGTGTATACATCTGTATCTTCTTCGTAGATAGAGCTTAAATACTGATTATTTTGGGCTATTTCTGGAAACATTTGAGTGAAATCTCTTTTAGAAATAGTCACGTATTTTGAAAATTCATCTGTGAAATTATAGTGTAGATTATCATTATGATCAACTTCTTGAATTTCTGTCTTATGTTGAACAGGAAAGTAAAAATCAGGTGATTGCCGCCTTGTATCAAAATTCCTGTTAGAATATGGCGATTCATTGAAAGCATAACTTGTAATGTATGTTCTGTTTGGTGAACCAAATCTATTAAATTTTGTTTTAATTGGATTTATTTGTAAGTAATCATTCCTAGAATAATTTGAAAGTGATTTTTGTATCGTATTTGGCGCTTTTTCATTTTTGTATGGTTTTATGTTTAAATAACTTTCATGTAAGGATCTAGAATCATTTCCATACTGTAAAGATGGAAAAGTATTAGTATGGTGATCAAATAATTTATTTTTATCGTTATAAAATGGTTCGTCTATTTTACTTGAGAAAAATGAAGAATCTTCATATTGGGTATTTACATCAGTTAGCAATTTGGAATTATCGGTTGAATAAATTAATGGAGTTAATCTGTTATCGTATGGAACCTGGCGCTTTCTTATTTTTGAAGGAGTATGATATATTTGTCCTCTTCCTGTTGGAAAATATTTGTTATATTTTTTAGAAGGCATTACTATTTTAACAGGTAGTACTATGGTGTCATCCGGATTATTTGAGATGATATCGGGCACTCTCGAAGCCGTAAAATTATTTACGACATAATTTATTGGTAAAGCATTGGATAATGTATCAGACTCCAGAATTGTTGTGTGTTTTGGTCCCACAACTACGGCATCTGCGTCTAGATTGTATGGAACTCGAATAATTGTTGTTTGATTAGAAATAATTGTGCCTTTGGGAATTATGATTCTTCTGTATGTCATTTTTTTGAATTAGTTTTATTCTAATCACATCTTATTCATGAAATACTGTAATTTTAAAAATGTTTTGTGAAAATGAGATATATTAAATCGAAAATGAAAATTGCATGTGAAAATGTCAAAATTGGCAACTTCTATAATGGACAAATTCGGAAGTGACATATTATACACGCCATCATAGGTAGGACATAGCCCTGACAGTTGAGGCCTACAAAAATTGAAAAGAAGAAGATGAACAGGGTCAAAAATAGGACAGCCACGCGCATGACGTCATACGCGCTTTTCAAAATACTGACGAAATGTGAGGAAATATAAAGAATCAAACTGACATTCAATCAATCGTATGTCAAATTAACAGCCAACATCAATTTGTAAGCATGTGTTGTTTTACCACTCTCCTAAATTCATAATGCCAAAAAAACCCCAAAAAATTGTAATTCCCAAAGGTACGATAAATCCCAATGAGACTACCGTAATTGAAATACCCGGTAATTTGAGGAAAAAATCGGTAGTTATAGCCAAAAAGGGAACTGATAATACTACAGTGATATCAGAATCTTCAAGACGAAGAAAAACGTAGGTAAAATAAATCTCTTTTTGTTCAGTTTCTTTGATATTTTTGGAAAAAAAAAATCAGCAGTCACTGTATCACTTCTCTAATCCATGAAAACAGTTCATAAATTTAGAAGCAGCTGTTTATATATGGCAGCTGTGTTAATGGAGGCGTGGAGGTAACACATTTTTAGTTTGGATTAACATAATATCGTTTATTACGAGTAATTAAATATCTTACACAAAACAAATGTTTTCTGTATCAATTCAACTTTTCTTTTAAAATTATAAAAGTGTAGGTTGGGCACAACTGTATTTAATTTTTAGAGATCAAAGGCCCACCAAACTTCACCGTGGCCAACAAACGACGACCACCACACAACATTTAAGAACAGGACGCAAAAAAAATTTAACTTTAAACGAGCCATATCTTGATGCAAAAATGTCGCATACTCCATGTTCACAACATCCTCCACAACCACAACAGAGTTCTTCCTCGCAAGCTCAAACTGTAGGACACGCTTCGTATGTAAGTTATGCAGAAGATGAGGATATTGAACAACTCCTAGATGATCTTGAAAGGTATTACTGTTCCCAGAGACAGTTGCTTATTAAAGCGAAATTGAGTCGGTCATCAATCTGTGGGTAAGTAGGAGAACAAAATAATCTCTAAATTGTCTACACACCAGTGTTGCCAGACTATATTTTTGTTATGTACTACCATATTTGTCTGAGAAATGTACCAGATTCCATAAAAATGTACCAAATTCTATGAATTGTACCATATTTTTCGAATTGTGATGGTTTGATTCATTGAAGAGTAAAAAAAGGCTTTTATCGAGAACGAACACAAACAAGGCAAGAAATCGAATATATTTTACCCGTCAAAAAAAAGTACTAGATTTTGCTTCGAGTGAACTAAAGTACCATATTATTAAATAATGTAGTAGATCTAGTACAATTGTACTAGACTGGCAACACTGCTACACATACATATCGCTCACAGGATACAATAATGTAATATCACAAAATTATTAGTTTTGAGAAATATAATGAATTTGAAACATTTAATAATTAAAAGTTTAATATTGTGTTTAAATTAGGAATAAAATTTATGCGGAGTAATCATTATGTTATGTTGTGATATAATTTCGGCTATTGAACGCTTTCCAGTACGCTTTGCTAAATGCACAAGTGAAAAATGCAGAGAGGAAACGAATAATATCAACATTACCAACTGATTTCTAGGGGCTATCTCTCGCTGTTTGCCTATTACATCAAACAGCGCACACGGCAACGGATATTATTCGTTTCTTGTTCGTCCTAATGCTAACTCTCCGTAGTTTTCACATCAATACTGACCAAACGTATAGGAGAATGTTCAATACCCGACACCTGTATACTTGTTACTACTTACTGGTAACAATATGTACTCGTAAAGAATACCCAGACAGCACAGCAAATCCTTTGGGTATCTACTGAACATCCCAATATCCATTGAATGTCCAGTCCATGGTGAATATCTATTTTATATCCATGAGATGTAATTTATAGACATGCAAATGTCCATAAATAATTACGCCATTGTGGCTAATAGATATTTAAAATTAATTTTTTTAAGGTGTATTCAATATTCCATGGACATCCACTAAATAATCAAAGTCTAGGCGCGAACGCAAACCATCGTGGATATCCACTAGATGTAATTTTTGATTTTGCTTACTAAGTATAGATGGCGATACCACTTTCGCATCTACTCATGCTCAACCCGCCGTAATTGAGTTCGATCGAAATTTGTTTCCCAATCAGGCTCCATTAGAGACTGGAGTCGAGAATTTCCATTTATTGCTGAAGAGTCCTAATAAGGATGACTTTCTCCTTAGTGGCAAAATTAAAAGCAGAGTGTTTTTTTTTTTAATTTGGTGTCATCGGCGTCGACTACTACGGCCATTGGCCTCGTGTTCTGTGTAGGCATTGTTACTGTTTCCCAGCGCCACTTTAGGAACAGCACTGTTAATTAGAACCCAACAGTGAATGGTCGAGTGGGGAATCCTACCAAAGGCATCAGAATTAATTTTAATTAATTAAATTAAATGAAAAAATCCCGGCCAACGGTGGGATTCGATTCTGAGACCTTCCGATCTCAAAGTCATGACTCTAACCACTGAGCCAACCCACCCCAGGCAGAGTGTTGAAAATATTTTGAGTGTTGAAAATATTTTTTTTCTGCTATTTTCTTTCGACGTTATTCAATAAACATTGGTTACTTTTATGAACTTCTACTAAAGATACCCATAAAATATTTTGCTGAATATCCAAATTCTTCTATATTCTGGGATATAGATGGACATTTGGTTGGATATCCATATTGGATATCGACAAAATATATTCTGTGGATATCTCTGGGATTTCTCGTATTGTCTGGAAGATACCCATTAGATATTTTGCTGGATAATCCATAGGATATCTTCTATATTCTGGATATAGACGGACATTTGGATATCCATATTAGATCCACGGAATATTTCTGATATCCTGTAGATATATTGGATATCCACAAAATATACTTTGTGGATATCTCTGGGATTTGGTGTGTTGTCTGGGTATTAGTTCAATTAATTTTATTTCATTTCTATTACTAATATCGAAAATTTAAAACCAAAACTATTAATTAAAATAAACGTAACAAATATAGATAAACCCCGCAAGGATATTTTTATTTTTTAGTTGTCAAAGTCAACATAGTCATCATAAAAGCATGTGTGTACAGACCGACTCCCAAACGGATTACAGGTAAAGTGGTAGGTATACTATTACAATAATTATAAAATTATTTTCCTTTCTTGTTTCATTTATTTAAAATACACTTACCCTATTTATTTATTTTTAAACAGTGGTTTTTTTCTATGCGATAAAACTTTAGAGATATATTGTAAGTTTAACTTAAGGTCAGTCACTATTAGCGCCGCTCTTATTTGATATCTAAGCATACGCAGATCGTTTAAGTTTTACAACTCACTATATTAAAGATAGTTGTTTAATACCATCATCTAAATCTCGTAAAAATGGCAATTTCTAACGCCTCTTCCATATTATGTACTATTATAGACAACAACAAAGATGAACCATGATTTGTTTTTAAAATAAAGTAAGGAATTTGTATAAGGACAATGACTCTATTGTCAGGTTTGCAATAAGTCTTATTTTAACATGGAATTTATTTTCCTCTAATTACATTGTCACTATTAGTGGCTGACGCTATAGAAATTTGCAATATCTCTCTTTTGTATCAAAATTATACTCTTATTTATAATAATACTTTAGAAATAAAATTTGTTGAATTTGAATAAAAAAAATCAAATTTGAATACGGTGGACCATATACAAAAAACATGTAACACGCGATGTCAAAGAAAAAAATTCTTTCCGTCTGGACTATCAACAAAAAGCTATGAATTTTCATAAAAGAAAAACAATTAAAAAATTAATGTTTTTAGCGATTATGAGACTTTTAAGTGTGGGATAAGTAATGCCCGAACAAGTGAGCCGAAGTTCAAAACAACGGGAGCGAATAGAAGGTAATATTATTTTTCCTACACAATAATAAAATCTGCCAGATTTTTTGAAAAAACTCAAAATTAACAAAAAAAAAAAAGAATAAATCTAAAACCGTACCTGAACTTGTGTACGAAAAATTAAAATAATTAAATAGTAGGTCTACGTGAATCTATTTTTTCTTTTTTACGAATATGAATCATGAATATTGTAATGCAGTGGCTTTTTTTACATAGTAGGTCAGTACAGTGTTTATAATATTGTAAAATGAAAATTAAATGCGTCTAGAAGAACACATTTTAAATAATAATGTTATCGGAAACTTGTTGTTAGATAAGTGTTAGATAAGATGGGATAAGTTAAAGAAAAGTGCTACTGTCTTCAAGGTTTCTTGAAGTAGTCTTCAAGAGGTTTAAAGGTAGAATAAAAAGGAGATGCTACGACGATACTAAAAGTATCTGCACACTTATACATCATATGTTAAATTCGAGTTAGTGGAACTAGTCGTCAGTTTTGGATAGAATAAATGCCATTTTCTGAAAATAGCTTCATTTAGATGATATAAAAACATTTTCATGTTTTTAAATATCTTATCTTTAAATATAAAATTATTGACTTTAAATAAATCAAATAAAAGAAAGTCGCCACTTTGATTACACTTTTCCGTCACTCGAAGTGCATCCATCTATCATATCGCAAAATAATGTTTATGTCGTCTTTACTTCGTTCTATCTCGATGAGATAGATGAAAATTTAGAACAGTGTTTATTTCATGCTTTTCACTTGTACAGTACGACACGATTGAGATGGTAAGTCAGAATTAGATGCGCACTAGAAAATCTAAAAATGGGAGAAATTATCCCAGTTAATGGCTGAACTTCGATGCTATTGTTTCAGTAATATATTTTGTTCACTTGTGTTGACTGAGATAACTCCTCCATTTTTCCAGTGCGCAATTCTGACTTGCTATCTCAATCTTGTCGTACTGTAAGAAGTTTTAATATTTTCCCATAGTTCAACTAGATTTACAAAACGGCTCTCACAAATAAGATAATAAAAATAATAAACTATATCTAAAGGTACTAAAGATGTTTCTAAATATTTATAAAAACCATGCTGTTGCTAATACCATTGCTAATGGCAATAAATTGTGTATAAAATAACCATTACGTTTTTTTTTAGTCACCATGAGAAGTTTGGAATGTGTTGTTCCCAAGGAAGTAATCGGCCTTCAGGAACTCAAGTAACCAGAAGGTATTTTAATAAATCAAATTATTATTTGTTGATAATCTTATTTTTTTTTTAATGTCAGAAAATATTTATATTATATTACCAAATTTGATAACATTAAAGTTCAACTTTTTTGGATTGAATTGGATTGAAAGCGGAGTTAAAGTACTATCTTTAAAGGCACTCTTTCTTTAAGAATAAGACACAACATTTTTTTCGTTTTTTTTACCCGATAGGTAACCCCAGTCCGTATTACCTCTTGATTTCCCAAAGTATTTCCAATATTTCAAATTGCTTAGTGAAATAAAAAACCGGTGATAATTAATCTGCTATAGGGATTTGTTAATATACTGGGCGTCTGAAATTTATTCTATTATTTAATTAGTTTATAACGTAACATTATTACTCACACAATTTTCTTTACTTTTAATTCATTAATAGCTGTTAATCATTTGGATGGAATTATACACAAAAGAATCTATATAATACCATTAAATTTTAAAGGTAATTTAACAATACACTGGGTGCATTAATAATAACATAAATTAATGGCAGTAAGCGTACTATCAAATAAATTTTTGACAGCGCGATTCGTGCATTAGTTTATGCGTTTATCGATATATAGTTCCGATACCACTCATTGTATTTTATATGAAAATCTCTTTTACAGTGCACCCCAATCTCACTTGACAATAGAACCTGATTCAACAAACAGGACATGCTGTTCCGGAAAAACAGGCTTTGCTGTTCAAAAACCGCAAATTACTTCTTCTTGTAGTAGTATATGTATGCCTCAAGTTGTAGATAAAGAAAGGTAATTGGAATTAATACTGATATTAAAACATAAAACACACTGCCTGTGCGTACACTTCAATCACCCGGTTGCAAGAACGCTTGTTAAATCTCTCAATAGCTAATATGGTGTATTAGACTGTAATTTGAGATCAATGTCATTCAGACAGATCACATCCTCAAGCTCTGTCAAAGATTATCGGTCCCATAAAATTTATTGAACGTTTTTGCACCCGACTGTAGCATAATTAAAATTGACAATCTATGCTATTTTTACCAGGTGTGTTATTTATAAACTCACAAATAACGTATTAAGTTAAAAAAAAACATCATTTATACATCATAACCTCGTGTCGACATAAATCAATCAAAAATAATCATCCCCACTCAATTTAGTGAGCGTCTCGCTCTTTCTAATGCGACAGCCTCGGCAACAACTCTATAATGTGTCTAATATAAAACACAAATCGAATATTTACAAGTAAATAAATTTATGAATTAAAGGATTAGTCTATAGTTGTTAGAGATTTTGGGCATTTGTCTATTACTGCTGCATTCTCCACAAAATTATCTTTTCTTTGGTGTCTCACAAGTGGTACATACCCTATTTAAATGTTTATGTTAGCGATAATGGCATGGGCGCCGTTCAAAAAATTTCCAGGTGGGGCAAGTCTTATAGGCAGGGTCAAAACGCTGCAGGCTATAGTCAAAAGCCATGGCATTAAAATACAAAATCACAAACCCAGGGAGGGAGGGCAGGCGCACCCCTTGCCCTCGTGTGGTGGCGCCCATGTGTATTGTTGTGTAGGGGGTTATGTCATTTAAATTGCAAGGGTTTTTCTAATATCATCTTTAGTTCATGAGATATAGCTGTAAGTTTTTAAATTATCAGCGATCATCCATGTATTTTAATAATTCCCTTGATAACTTTTAAAATATTAGTTTCAATTATTTTTATAATCAGTAAGTCACTAATTAACAAACTTAAATTGTACCTATTAAAAAGTTTGTTTGAATGAGGCTTTCTAATATATTTTTGTTGATAGTTCCGTAAATATACTAACTCAATGCGATCTGGAATTGATAAGAAGGCAATTTGAAGAAGCTTCAAGAAAACTGCAAGAAGTTATAAGTTCCCAGAACAGGTGTCATATATCTCAAGATTCTAAAAAACAACACGATTGCAAATAACTAATGGATTTGTTAAAGAAACAAACGATTAATGATGTTCGAAATTTTGTGATCAATAAAAAACATATTTCCAAAAATTAACCGTATTTTATTATAATATATTACTAAAACATACCTATACCTTGCTGCAAAAACAAAAACGTTTTATAAAAACTGCTTGTTTTAACAAAAATAAAATTCTAATTAAAATGTGACATATTTATATGGGACTTACAATAATTATTTCTTTTATGTTATATATCTTTGAAAGAAATTGGAGCTGCCCCTCTAACACCAACGTTAAAAAAATAATGTACTTCTGTATTTATTATTAAGTAAAAAACTTGGTTTTGAAAAATTTGTTTAATAATATTTAAAAATAAACAAAACATTTTTTATTTATACAAATAAAACAGTCATTCGTCAGCTTGAACCTTGTCTGCCTGATATATGGGAAACGTATTCTTCATCACCAACTACTTCGCTTATGAGGGCTTGGTAATATGCCTTTTCGTTGGGAGGAATATAGTTGGTAACTAACTGCATCACGTCCTTGCATTTTGCCTTTTTATAGGTATTGGTGAGTTGTAAATTAGATTAGTCCCTTCTTGCATTAAAAAGTTAAGAAGGCAAGTCCAAAAAGTTCAATATTTGCTATTATTGCAGCTGCCTTTTTTGATACCAGTCAATTAATCTTTATTTTTACAAGAACTAAAATTTTACCGAAATTGGGGATGTCCGCTTCTTGCAACAAGGTCCTCAATTTCCTAGTCCGAGATTATATTTTTTGTCAGTAATTAGTGGCACTCTGAAATATCGTACAACACTTTAACCAGACCAGTAAACTTTTGAGCAGTTACAAAATATTGTTTTGAATGAACTAAGTCGAATAAATTTATGAAGAACGTTTCTGGGTATTGGGTGTGTTGCCTTTTAATGTGGTGTTTTTTGTAGAAGTTATGGAAACCTATTGACATCAAAAGAACTATTTTCCCGCCATGCTGAACAATTAAGAAGACTACTTAATGAATTAGAACCAAGCGCATTCGAATCGGAAAGTAAATTTAAGGCATGTGCAGAAAAATTAAGGAAAAAATTAAAAAAGAAGTACAAACTTGACAAAAATGCGCTTTCATCTTCTTTACAAAACTCAGAAGAGTGATGTTAGGGGGTTAATATTGTTAATGTATCTATTATTGAAGATGATAAATAAATTTAGAACCTAATTGTATTTTGGCAGTAGTAAATATATTACATTTTCATATTACTTTATTTTATTTTCCTTCTTACGGATTGACGTTTAAGAAGAAAATTTCACTTATTAATAGTACTAACTAACGACGTTATTAAAGAAAACTATACAAAAAGTAAAGCTTTTGGCACTTGGTTGCTCAGGGAAAAACTTCTAGGGTGAGAAAACTGCAATATTTTCAGTTTGGGTTTCAGTCGCAGTTAGATCATCCAGGCTACTGACAGGTTATAATATGGTAACCACAGATTAGGGACATAAAGATTGGAAACGCAACAACGCAGCAACGATGGCTTCATCTAGCGTTTCAGATGTTAACTACTGTTCTATGTCGTTTGTAGAGAGACCAGTGTTGCCAAATATTTTTTTTGAGAGATCGTACAAGTAGAATAGAAAAATGTTATTTCGACAAAAAACAATAGGTACATGTATAGCATAATCTAACTTAAACGGAATGAAAAAATAAAAAAAAACTTTGGCATGATAATTTATTTATCTATTTATAAAAATGTTAACGAAAAAAAACTAAAGAAAATACATGAAACTTTAAATTAATAAATTTAAAGTTCTTGTATAAAAAAACGTTTCAGACGAAAGTTTTATAGTTTTTTGGGGAAAACATTTTGGCTAACATCGTTTTTTATAGCTAACCATTATGGCCAACTTTTTTTTCGCACAGCAAAATTTTCAAGTAGGTGTTACTCAATAAGTAAAAATCCAATAAAAAAAATGTTTACTTTAAAAGTTACTTATTTCTTTATGAACTTTAAGAATATGTAAAAAATGGGGCTCTAATTTGAAAAAAAAAGTTTACTTCGATATGGCCATATTATGGCCAGCTATAAAAAAAATCTGATGTGTCCAACACATGACTTTCCTATCTAGTTATTACAAGCTTTTTCCGGTTATTTTGTACAACCTATTGCAGCATCTCTATAAATGTTTAGAGGATAAACTAAATATATACATTGTCCACATACATCTACCGCGAAACATTTTTCTATAGATATTCATTGAAAATGAAAATACTGAAAAATTTAAATTTAGCACTTTTCCTACAATTTTTCCATTACGGTCCATTTTAAAAAAATCATGTATGAACAAATATATTCCATAAAATATAAAAACGGCCTCCCATAAAGTACCCCCCAGATGTTCCGACTTTGTCCAAAATCTAATCATTTCACGTCAGGCCGAAATAAAACTTAAGTTTAAAATTTATTGTTTTTTTCTTTATCCGTTTTTGAGTTTTCTTCAAATTTTGAAATTTACACATTTTCTCAAATATCTCGAATACGGTCCATTTTAAAGAAATTATCTATAGGATAAAAATTATAGAGAATTATATAACAAACAACTTTTGTTTGAACAATTTTTATAAAAAAAAAATATTTTTTTACATTTTGTCAAATTTCACGAATACGGACCATTTTAGGAAAATTTTGTATATTACAAAAATTATAGATAATAAAATAAGAAGTAACTTTCATTTGAAGAATTTTCTTCCCCAAACGTAAATAACAGATATATTCCATAAAATATAAAAATGACCACCTATAAAGTACCCCCCCAGATGTTCCGACTCTGCCCAAAATCTAATCAGCTCATTAGACGCTGGAACAAAGCTTAAGTTTGAAATTTGGTGTTTTTCCGTGTATCGGTTCATGAGTTATGCGTTATACAGACACACAGACACACACACACATACATCATCGCAAAAATAGTCAAAACGGATTCAGGGGACCTCAAAACGTAAAAATCCGTCGAAAACTCGAGGTCGAAAAAAATCATGATTCCTATACTTTCCTTATATCTGTATACAGATAGGAAAGTAAAAATGAATTTAGCCAAAATGTTTCCCCCAAAAAACTATAAAACTTTTCTCTGAAACTTTTTTTTAAAAAATGCATATTTTTGGCGATATTTAACTGTAACACTTTAATTTAAACACCCAGTAGATATCTATTACTTATTGCTCAAATATAATATTTAATTTCAAATAGAGAAAATCTAATTTTTACTTCTTAAACTAGTTGGAATGTATATTCAGTATATCCATTACATAAAAATGTTTTGCATCAATTCGGTACTTTCAAGTAAAATAAGAAAAAATTCCGCATTATGCTAGAATCACTATTAAATTAAAACTTAATTAACTGAACAAAGAGTCAATGTAACATTATCTTATTTTGGAACCCTTGTAAGAAATGACAAAACAAATGTTTACTATAGCGATAACCATTAACAAAAATAAATAAATAAGTAAATGATTGTATACACAGAAATTAGACTTACAATTAAAATAAGTTCCTTATAAAAGGCACTTCTGGTCAAATTCGATGTTTAGTTTCAAATTATGGTTTACCTATAGTGTGTTAGTTCTGGTTGTTTTATTGTCGAGCCCTTAACTATTAAGTAGTAATACCGTAGGTGACCTTTTTTAATCTCCTTGGTAAAACTGCTTTATATTTAGGGTGTTCTAGAACCTCAGTGAAAGATTTTTGGTTGTGGTAAGATTATTAGTAACTTGAAGAAGAACATTTTTGCTTGAAAAATCAACTAAATGCTAATTTTGAGAAGTTTTTTCAAATTTATTAAACTTTTTATTCAAATACCTAATAACAATGTTTTTTTAGAAATATCTATTTTTCTCTTTTACTAAATTAAAACAAACATTTTACTATTGAAATCAAGTTGTTCTGTTGTTTTTTTTTGTTTTAAAATAAATTATAATTTAAGGAAATATTTACGGCTTTTTTAAATTTAGAAAACTCCTTCATGATAGGTATACTTCCTTGTTTAATAAACATTAACAACAATTTTAGGGGAAAAATAATTAAGGGGTTAAATTTTTTTATAATTTTATAATTAAATGCTAATTTGAGAAAATATCTACTATGTTTTTCAAATTTAGAAAATTCTTTGATTATGCCTATATTTTTTCTTTTTAATAGTTACCTATTTGTTTAGAATGTTTTTAATTAAATGCTAATTTTACTATATTTTTAAATTTAGAAAACTTTCTTAATGATAAAGTTTTCTTTAACTAAATAATAACTAAAATCTTGATAGTTTTAGTTTTAAGAAAAACAGAACATAAGAATGTCTATACTTAAATGTTGATTTAGGAAAATATTTACCGTTCTTTCAAATTTAAAAAATTATTTAATGGTATCATTATTTTATAAGTTAATAATAAAAATATAGCTGGTATATGGCAAGTAGGTAGTTTTTTTTTTTTTTAATTAAATGCTGATTTAGAGCAATATTTACGGGTTTTGTTTAAATTTAGAGAACACATTAAATTATACAGGATGTTTATTAATTGAGTGCCGATACTTAAGGGTGTGAATACTTGGATGATTTTTGGAAGAAAAGTTAATATCAACACATGTCGTAAACCTCTAAATTTTCGAGCTACAGGTGTTAGTAACAGTTTTAAGAAAAAAATTACTTTTTTTTATCATAATCTTCTTATCACTTAAGAAATTTTTATTAAATTTTGTACACACCTTTACATCATTAAAGAGCATTTTTTGACGTATTTTTTTTTAAGTTTCTACCCGTGACATCCGTATGAGGTTTGAACTGAATATTTTTGAAGAAAAAAATAGCTTTCTCTAAAAACTAAAATTATTTTTAAAATCCTCATTTATTTTGGAGCAAATTTGGTACATAGACTTTACTTTCTTACGTCGCACCGTAAAAAGTACCTACATAGTATTAAATCTTTTGACGATGGTGCAACCCTTCATGCGCGAGTCCGACTCGCACTTGGCTGGTTTTTTATTTTATTTGCTTTAAGAGAGCATTTAATGTACTTACCGTTTTTTTCTATTCAA